AGTGAAAGAAATTTTAATTGTTACACTGATTAGCACAATAAAGATAAACATAGCCAGTGTGCTGGTGTAAGCTTTAATCCTAGCAGCACTCAAGAACCAAAGAGGTAGATGGACCTCTGTGAGTTCTAGACCACACTGGTTTACATTGTGAGTTACAGATCAGCCAGACCTACAGAGTGAGTCACCATTTCACATGTGCGTATGAGGGGGTGGGGGGCAGAGACAGAGAGAATAGTACTGGAATAGGAAATAGGGTAAGACCTCACCTATTGAAGCTGCCAACACTTAAAAATGCCTATTTATTTAAAGGAGGTAGCTTGAATTGAGAATACATTTGAAGGGGTACATTGCTCAAAAATAATTGCTTAGGAAAATATTTTTTCAGGTTCAGACAATATCACCTACAAGGGGCTAGACTACATCTTGAGCTGATAGTAGAATTTGGCAGCATCACCTGTAGGTTTTGCAGAAATGAAAAATATGAGTGAGTGGGTCACTAAGGCTTTTACCAATGATATGGAAAGCCGTGATGCCAGGAGATGTGCCATATGGTCAGATCCTGCAAAGAGGACACAGGGTAAATGGTAAATATGAAACCTAAGTTACAACAGAGACCCCAGGATGCTGATGATACCAGGATCATGGGAAATATGCTGAAGAAAGCTGAAGCCATCCTGAAAGAAGCATTCAGGAGTACAGTTAGTTTTAGTTACATGGCAGACATGGAGAGGCATGGCTACTGGAACACATTTAAGCCCAGATGGAAAATACATCATGAGCTCCAGACACTGGACATGGCATTTAACAATTTGAGCATTTTCCAGATAGCTCTTTTCCTTTTGTCCAATCTTTTTTATGTCTTCACTCTCACCTTTTGGAATGGGGATATTTAATCTGTTCCTTTATAAAATGAAATATGTAACTTATTTTTTATAACTTTATAAGAGATCACAGTTAAGAGACTACCTTAAGTCTCAGAAGAATCTCTGGGATTTTCAACAGTATTGTGACTGTTAAAGACTATAGGAACTTCTAAAGTTGGAACAAACTTTTTTTTTTTTTTTGCATTATAAAATGATATTGAATCATAGGGCATAGAGGCAGAAGGTTGTGTTCTAAATGTGTGATGTCTCCATAAACTAATGTATTTGAAAATTTGTTATCCAACTAGTGGTATAGTTTTAGAAGATTTTAGAACTTTTAGGAGGTAGAAATTTTCTGGACGAAGTTACTTACTAGGGTCACACCTTGAGGATGGTTAGCCCAGATCTACTTCTGTCTGTTCTCTACTTCTTGACTAGGAATACAACTTAGCCAGGCACTTGTATTTCTGTCACCATTCGTACTCTGCTATGATGGATTATATCCCTTCTTATACCAGAAGTCAAAATAAACATCTCCTCCCACAAGTTGTTTCTTACCAGGCATTTTGTCACAACAAAGTCATACACTACTGTCTGTATTGGACTGTGTACCGAGTATTTTCATTACTGCTCGGTATTACACAACAGTGCTGAGGATTAGCTTTAATGTTTAGGAAAAATAAATTTGGTGTTTTATAGTCCGGCATGTGACAAATTCAAAATTTTCATATTCCATTTGATTCAGATCTTTTATGGGTATTTTCATACCTTTACAAAACTATCATTCCTCCATTGCCCCTTTAAAAGCGTAATTACAAGTGAGGTGCTAAAATTTACATTTCAAAAAGAAATTTAAAAGAATGTAAACATTAAAATATGTTGAAGAAAAATATTAGTATATGAGCGTGCAAGAAAAAAGAGAGGAAAATGTCTAGTATAAATTCATTTTCTATGTATTTTCCTTATTGTTTCTGGCTGAGTAAAAAAAAATCTGACAGTTATTGAAAATATCACAATAACATTTTAAGTCTGTATGAAAGCAATAAGAGATTAAGAATGTGTTTTCTTGTTTCAAATCTACTTTTAGAATGTTAAAACTTTAAGTTTTACTATACTTAACTACTAAAATTAATATTTTATTAAATTATCAAATGTCATTATGGTAGAAATGTATTACACTGAGGGTTCATCCATAGGTGTACAAATTCGAAAGGAATTAGAATTTTTCCGTAAACTACTTGTGGCCAAGTAGATTCAAACAGATACCATCATACTGCTATTCTCTATGGGATGTCTGTATACTTTGATAGCATTTTCTTGGATTATTGATTTTAAAAATTTAAAATGTAAATGTTCTTACATACTGAGCGATCTTTATTAAACTGATTTTATTGAATAATATTGATAAATGTAAACAAACACTGAAAATAAATGTAAAACTTTTATTGGGGTTTACAAAGTGGAATTTTTAAAAAGTTCTGAGTCTGAGTCATATTGAATATATTCTCTCTTCTTCTCTCTTTTTTTTTTTTGGTTTTTCAAGACAGAGTTTCTCTGTTGCTTTGGAGCCTGTCCTGGAACTCTCTCTATAGACCAGGCTGGCCTCGAACTCACAAAGATCTGCCTACCTCTGCCTCCTGAGTGCCAGATTAAAGGCATGAACCACCACCACCCAGCCTCTTTATTTCTTTTAAAAATAGCATTAAAATGTGTTTTTGCCTGCCTTTGGGACCCTTTTCCTTCTACTGGTTTGCCCTGTCCAGCCTTGATATGAGAGTTTGTGTCTAGTCTTATTGTAACTTGTTAGGCCATATTTGGTTGATATCCCTGGCAGCCCTGCCTTTTCTTGAAAGGAAAGGAGGGGTGGATCTGGGGGAGAGGGGAGGTGACTGGGGCTGGGAGGAGAGGAGGGCTGTGTGGAAACTATATTTGGGATACAATGTGTGAGAGAAGACTAAATAAGTTTGATAAATGTTTTGGAAGATAGAGGTTTCACCTGTACAGATAACAGATTTTTTTTTGCCTGATTAGATTAATAAGAAAGTATACCACTAGACAAAAGTTTGGGCAGGCCTGACAGCAGCCCCTAAAAACCCAGTGGCTTTTCAACTGCAACACAAAAATAGTGTTTGCAGTACTCACTTGGTCTACTGTCCTGGATTTGGGGGTGGTGAGGGGAAGTGACATTAGTGAAGCTCATGCTACCTGTTGGGTTATGACAAAGATCTTTTATCTCTCATCCAGGATCTCCTGTCACTCTGCCTGTCTCAACCAAAACTGGACAGACCCATTTTTAGGTATCTTTCCACTGGCTTAGAAATATCAATCTAAAATTGAAAAGGTAACTCAGCATGTTCTAGCTAGATTCAATAGTGCTGGAAGGGGTTCTGTAGTAGGCTATTGGGGGAGAAAAACAATAATGATTTTACCTTCATTGTACACTGGAGGCTACAATATTGACCTGTCAGGCAACATGTACCCACTGGTACAACAGTAGCATGGTAGTTATGGTAGTAACCGATCATTTTCTGACTGGATATGTGGCCTGCCTTAGAGGAGAGTTTCTCATAAACCTTGTCAAAAACCCATGCCTGGGAAGGTCCTAGGCCCTAAGGAGGAATAAGCCTACTATAGTTGTGCTAAATGGTCAGTTGTCAAACTGTCTTCTAAATATTTATTTATACCCATATACTTTTGGTGCTCTCAACTTTTGTTGGAGAAATTTCTTCTTATTTTTTGGGGGGATGGGTAGAGATTTATACAGAGATTCATAACTGATAAAAATGCTGAGAATATTTGACTGTGATTGTTCAGCCAAAGCTGGGCCATCTATATCAATATCCTCCCAACCAAAGCCCAGGGAATCTCTCAGAAGGAGTAGAATATAAAAATTGTAGGATGGAGAGAGAGAGAACAGTTGTGAAATGTGCTCTTCTCTATGACATAGGCATTGCATACATGACATCACCGTTGCTATGGTTGCCTGCCTGAGACCTGCACAAGACTAATCCTGTCAAAATTCCAACAGGGATTGGGGAGGAGTTGCCAAGGCCCCAGAACTAGCTGAGGAATTATCAGCAGATGTTGAATGCTAAGGGTATAATTCTTTTGGGGACTGTGGCTGCTGAAAGTTTGCCCATGCCCCACTGGATAGTCCCACATCTGTGAGCATGTGAGCAGTACTAATTAGACTCTGTTGGTGATTTAAAAAGATAGGGAACATGAAATTTGGAGGAAGACATTTTGGAGGAATCCTTCTAGAGCTGGAAGGAGGCTACTAGTGGTAGATATAATCAAAACACATTGTATATATGTTTGAAATTTTCTTTTACTTTCATTTTTGGTGACTGGTAGATAATGTATACATTTTAAAAATAATTAAAAATATTATTTAAAAACAGAACATTTTTTACCCTTACTGATCAATTATTTCATATAAATGTTTTACAAAATATTTATAGAACTGGATCAGAGATGTTTCAAGGGTAATATATTTGCATTCGTTTGGTAATCTCTGTTCCAGTTTTACTTCTACAACCTATTTGTTATTATTCTTTGTCAATAGAAACTAAATTACTCAAAGAATTTCAAAAAAGAAACTACAACAACGTGTGCTATTTACATGCTTCTATAAACATCTCAAAATATCTTCCCAGTGGTGCATGCCTGTAATCTCAGAAGTGGGGAGGCTGAGGCATGATGATGAGTTATTTGATGTGAGTCTGCCTAGCTATTTTATGAGAGCAAGGCCAGTATGAGCTCACAATGGTTCCCACTCTGGTTGGGTGAACTGATTTTGTCAGCTAAAGCTATCATCTTGTTCTGCATTCTCCAATAGAAATCTTTTAGTCAAATATGTACGGAAACTGATCTTGCACATTTTCCTGCATCACTCTTTCCCATATCATCACCTTCCTGCTGCCTATCTTCCACCAAACCCCTTCTCCATTCCCTCTCCACCTTCTCTATATGCCATTGTCTCTCCCCTTTCCAATTTGGCCTGTTTGAAAGACGTGCTCCAAAGTATGTGCTCCAAAGAATGGGGAAAGTTTCACCCATAGAAAATAAGCAAAAGACAACCACTTAAGTGTACCACCAGCGTTGCTTTTACTACGGCCATGGGATTACATGTTGAAATCACATAGCGAATTTCTCAGTCCACTCTCTAGCCAGTCTATCATACTTTTTCTTGTTCTTGCGGTAGACCTTTGCAATTTCAGGTACCAATGGATCATCCGGGTTCGGGTCACATAAGAGGGAGCAGATAGACAGGAGAACTTTAGAAATTGTCAGTGCTGGTGACCACTCAGATCTCAGGATGTCAAGACAGATGGTTCCCTTCCGGTTGATATTCGGATGGTAAATTCGTGTGATGAATGTGATCTTGGGTGGTCTGAATGGGTAATCCGATGGGAAATGGATGGCCAGGAAAAAGACCCCTCCATGGTAAGGGCTTTCATCAGGCCCCATTATGGTTGCTTGCCAATGAAATGGGTCTTCCCCCACAGGGCCTGCGGAGCACTGGGCTGGAGGGTCACGAGCCAGGTCCAAGAGCTCCTTTTGGATACGCTTGAGAGCCATGGTCCTTAAGATATGATGGATAGTCCTTTGTACTGGGCCTAACAAGTGGTAGATGGCTTTAGAAATTCTAGGGCCCAAACATCTGTGAGAGCACCGGTTGGTATATGGTTGGGGCAAGGGCTGGCTTGTGGCGAGGTCTGAGTTGTGGTGAGGGCTGGTTTGCTGTGAGGGCTGGGTTGGGTTCCCAAGGAGCTGTTCACAGAAGCGGATAGGGTAGAAAGAGAGAGCTCAGAGCTAGGGACATCAGCTTCTCAACTGTACCTGAAAAGCTGGCTGCACGATTCCTGCCTCTTGGGGCCTTGGAAATACTTTGTCTGGAGCTAGAGAATCCGCTGATATACAGAGGCTGTGATGCCTGAAGGCCGCACAACTGCTGGGAAACACTGCTGCCCGGAGAGGTAAGTGCTCCTCCTCCGGGCAGCCAGCTAATGAGACTGAGGAAGCTGTTTACCTCCAGTGCCTGGGCAACGGCAAGGGTCTATTGTGAGGTCACAGAGACACAGTAACGAGTATGATACATGACACAGTGCACGTAGCATAGAGGTGAGGGGAACGTGGGGCCAATATTCAGGTGAACATGGGTGCAGGTGTCAAATGTTATTAGAACAGTGGGAAATAGCTGAGCATTGGTGGCTCACGCCTTTAATCCCAGCACTCGGGAGGCAGAGACAGGCGTATATCTGTGAGTTCGAGACCAGCCTGGTCTACAAGAGCTAGTTCCAGAACAGTCTCCAAAGCCACAGAGAAACCCTGGCTCAAAACAGTGGGAAATGGCAGAAGGCACTCTTGCCTGTAGGCCTCACCCAGTGCTTATTCTTTGGCCTAGCAAACAAGGACACAATGTACCCCTTCACCCAGTTACCAGAATAAATAAGATCAATTCAATGAGTTTTCTCTCCATTAGAATGACTTTATCATACTCTTTCTCCACACTATATGTTCAAGTCATACAGACACTTATCTCTGTGTGTATTTCCAAGGACATCCTCTAATTTAAATAATTTAGCAAGTTTAATATTTGTATATCTTGGTAATGTTTTGGTAGTTACTCTCCAGAAGATTTCAAAATTGAATTTGTAACTAACCATCTTAATTTTATAAGAATGCCCCACAGAACAGGATGGTGAAAGAATGAAGAAAGAAGGAAAATAGCTAAACCCTATTTCTATCCTGCATTTATAGGCTTTAGTTGTTCTTTTGGGGGGTGGAGTTCGAGACAGGGGTTTTCTGTGGCTTTGGAGGCTGTCCTGGAACTCTGTAGACAAAGCTAGTCTCGAACTCACAGAGATCCGTCTGCCTCTGCCTCCAGAGTGCTGGGATTAAAGGTGTGTGCCACCACCATCTAGATGCTTTAGTTGTTCTTTATAGAAATAGTCTTGTTTGTTTGGAATGATTGTTCCAATAACAAAACTAGCCACACAACACAATTATTTCCTTGAGTGTTTCTAATATAGTTAGCTATTGATTATATGTGTAGAAATGCAAAGAAAATAATTACCATAAATATGTTGGTGTGTTAGGTGTATTAATTCATTTTGCTGAACTGAGTGCAGTAATTTAATAAGATTATTTGTAATTTCTGTTGTTACAGTACACATATCAGGTCACAGTTTCAGTTATACTGGATATTCTTTAGTTATGAAAATTCCTTTTTTGGAGAACTATTCATCTAATATCCAAACAACCAATTTAGGATGTACTACTTTGACATTACTTTACAAAGGAAAGACTATGGATGCCATAATGGGTCTTCTACTATTAAGATAAAATATAAGACTCACTGAGAAGAACTTCTCCAAATTTCTTGTTATTTTGTCTTTGAACTTAGTTTCTGTGCTTCTGAATGAAATGTCCATATTATTGTCATTATTATTAAAGTTTAATGGATCATATACAATATTGCAAGTTCTGGAAGTTAGCTTCCAGAGTTTTCTTTTCTGATGAGGATGGGATTGAAAATTTTATTAAAATACTGGAAAACATTAATTTTGATCTTTTTATTGGGCAGAATACTGAGACCAACAATTTTATTTGAGTACTTTAAAGGAGAAAACCTGGTAATGTTCTCCAGAGCCTTTTTGTTATCATGTCCTATTGAACATACATTTCTATATACAAAAGTATGTCATCTTCAGTGTGGCTGACTTCAGCTGAAATAGAATCATTTGCCACCTGGCTCCAATTATATAATTTTGACTCAGAATATTGCTAAATTGTCTATGTACGTCTAGGCTTGCTTCACCTCAAATTCATAATCATTCTTCAGTATCCCTAGTGGCTAGAACCATAATTACATCCTACCATGCCCAGCTACACTGTATGTAAATAATTCAACCCCTAAGAACATAGTTGAACAGATGTCCTTGTGGTATGAATGTGCATCCATTGGGTATATGACTAGGAGTAGAATTGCTGGGTCTTGAGGTAGATTGATTCCCATTTTCCTCAGAAGCTGCCATACTGATTTCCAAAGTGGCTGTAAAAAAGTTTGCATTCCCACCGGCAATGGAGAAGTTGCCCTTTCTTCACATTCTTGCCAGCATAAGCTGTTGTTGGTGTTTTTGATTTAAGCCATTCTGAAAGGTTTAAGATGGTATCTCAGAATTGTTTTCATTTGCATTTTGCTGAAGGCTAAGGATGTTGAGCAATTCCTTAAGTGCCTTTTGGCTATTTGGGATTCCTCTGTTGAGAATTCTCTATCTAGCTTTGTACCCCATTTTTAAGTTGGATTATTTGGTGTTTTAGTGACTAGCTTCTTGAGTTCTTTGTACATTTTGGAGATCAGCCCTCTGTCAGATGTAAGTTTGGTGGAGATCTTTTCCCATTGTGTGGGCTGCCATTTTGTCTTGTTGACTGTGTCCTTTGCCTTACAAAAGATGCTTCTTAGTTTCAGGAGGCTCCATTTATTGTTTATCTCAGTGTCTGTGCTACTGGTGTTATGTTCAGGAAGTTGTCTCTTGTATCAATTCCTTCAGGAGTACTTCCTACTTTCTCGTCTAAGAGGTTCAGTGTGGCTGAATTTATGTTGAGGTCTGTGATCCATTTGTACTTAAGTTTTGTGCATGGGGATAGATATGGATCTATCTGCAATTTTCTACATGCCACCATCTAGTTATGCCAGCACCATTTGTTCAAGATGCTTTCTTTTTTACCATTGTATAAGTTTAGCTTCTTTGTCAAAAACCAGGTGTTCACAGGTGTGTGGATTAATATCAGGGTCTTCAATTCAATTTCATTGGTCCACCTGTCTATTTTTGTGCCAGTACCAAGCTGTTTTCATTACTATAGCTCTATAGTGGTGCATGAAGTCAGGGATGGTGATGCCTCCAACAGTTCCTTTATTATACAGTTTGGCTATCCTGGGTTTTTTGTTTTTCCATCTAAAGTTGATTATTGTTCTTCCAAGGTCTGTGAAGAATTGTGCTGAGATTTTGATGGGGATTGCATTGAATCTGTAGATTGCTTTTAGTAAGATTGGTACTTTTACTATGCTGATCCTATCTATCCAAGAGCATATGAGATTTTTCGATTTTCTGGTATCTTCTTTAATTTCTGTAAGATTTAAAAGTTTTTTGTTATACAGGTCTTTTACTTGTTTGGTTAGAGTTACCCCAAGATATTTTGTTGCTTGTGGCTATTGTGAAAGGTGATGTTTCTCTGATTTCTTTCTAAGCCCATTTATTGCCTGTATATAGGAGGGCTTTTATTTTTTGAGTTAATCTTGTATCTTTTCACTTTGCTGAAGGTGTTTTTCAGCTGTTGGAGTTCCCTGGTAGAATTTTTCCGGGTCACTTATGTAAACTATCATATCATCTGTAAATAGTGAAAATTTGACTTCTTCCTTTCCAATTTGTATCCCTTTGATCTCCTTTGGTTGTCTTATTGCCATATATACACTTAAAGCACAATATTGAAGAGATATGGAGAGAATGGACAGCCTTGTCTTGTTCCTGATTTTAGAGGAATCAAGTTGAGTTTCTCTTCATTTAGTTTGATCTTGGGTGTTGATTTACTGTATATTGCTTTTATTATGTTTAGGTATGTTCCTATTATCCTTGATCTCTCCAAGACCTTTATCATGAAGGGGTACTGGATTTTGTCAAAGGCTTTTTCAGAATTTAGTGTGATGATCATGTGGTTTTTCTTTTTCAGTTTGTTTATATGGTGGATTAAATTGACATATTTTCATATAGCAGCATTAATTGTAATAGCCAGAGCCTGGAAGCAACCTAGATGCTCCTCAACTGAAGAATATATAAAGAAAATGTGGCATATTTACACAACGGATTACTACTTAGAGGTAAAAAACAATGACATCTTGAAATTGGTAGGCAAATGAATGGAACTAGAAGAAACCATCCTGAGTGAAGTAATCCAGATATAGAAAGACAAACATGGTGTGTCCTCACTCATAAGTGGATATTAGACATAGAACAAAGTATAACCAGCCCACATTCCATAACAACAGAGAAGCTAGGAAACAAGGAGGACCACAAGAGAGAGATACATGGACACTCAGGAAAGGGACAAGATCTCCTGAATAAATTTGGAGCATGAGGGGAGGTGGGGAGGTAGAAGAAAAAGGAGAGGAGAAAGGGAGAGGGAGGAGAACATGAAGGTTTAGGAAGGTTGAGTTGGGGGAAGAACAGAGAAGGAGAGCAACAAAAAAGATTCCTTTATGGAGTGGGGTGTTACGGGCTTAATGAGAAACCTGGCACTAAGGAAATCCCCAGGAATCCACAGGATGACCCCAACTAATAATCCAAGCAATAGTGGAGAGCCTACCTTAAATGCCCTTCCCCTATAATGAGACTGATGACTACCTTAAATGCTATCACAAAGCCTTCATCTAGTAGCTGATGGAAGAAGAAGCAGAGATCCACAGCTAAACACTGAGCCGAACTCCTGGAATCCAGTTGTAGAGTGGTAAGAGTGATTAGCAAAGGGTTCAACACCAGGTTGGGGAAACCCACAGAAACAGCAGACCCAAACAAGTGGGA